TATAAATATGACGCGTTCTTGTCCCGAACGAAGTATTTCAAAGTGCTCTTTTAAACTGCTTTTGTTTTTATGAACGAATTCTGCGAGCGTGGATGACGTGAATAAATCTGTGACAGAAATCTGAAGATTTGAGGGAAAATGACGTGTATATACAGGATGTCCCAAAAACGTCTCGCAATCTGGAAATAGGGTAATCCTGAGGTCATTTGAAGCAAGTGTTTCCTTAGCGAAAATGCAATCCACGGCTTTGTTTACGAGTTATTAACAAAAAGCACTGACCAATGGGAGGCGAGCTCCACTGGCGCGAGGCGGCCCAATCAACGAGCGCACGAAGCCCAGTTGCGCTTATTAGCTCGGTCGTCTCGCGCCAGTTGATCTCGCCTCTCATTGGTCACTATTTTTCGTTAATAACTCGTAAACGAAGCCGCGGATTGCATTTTCGCAGAGGAAAAAGTTACTTCGAACGACCTCAAAAACCCCTCATTTCTCGCTTGTACAATAATTTTGAGACGCCCTGTATAGAAAGCTTATATGGAAGCTCTTGATCAAAATTTTGAAGATGACGCGGCGAGGAAAAGATTCGAACATGATACGGCGAGGGCAGAGATCGAAGATAAAACAGAGTTCGAGCATTAGCCAGGTGTGAAATAATGCGTTGCAGGTTTTCGGTTGTTCGCTGAGAAGATAATGAAATAATGTTGGTATAGAATATAAAAAAGCTTCATAGAAATAGGCTTTAGGCAAACGAAGAGTTAACTCTGCGATGAGATGCGACGTCTTTTAAATAGACTTGCCATAGTTTTCTATGCGAAAAAGTAGGTACATAACGATCGTTGCAAGAAGATCGTAACCACGTTATAGTATAACCTTTTCTAATAGTACAAAGACATTACCGGTTACTGAATATGCATATCTGTAAAATAAAGTTATATTTATATTCCACTTATAACGTAAACAATGATAAGTAATGATTGTAACAGTAACAGTAATAATAACGAGAATAAGTCTAATCAGAACTAAAGTAATGTGGTAGGATGTAACAGAATAGGTCGTGGGTTTCGATACAGAGAAGAATAGGCTTGGTTATGGCTAAGTGGGCGTGGCTTCGGCGCTCTTCCTCCCGACGCAGCAGTGCCGCTCAGGACAATTTGTGCCAACAAGATTCTATATTGTACAAAGTTGCAAGATTTTATACACTCATGCATTCGAAACATCTTTCTTCAAGTTCTCGCACCTTCCTATCCGTCCTTGGCCGCTGCTCTGGCAACGGACTCCGAGAAAGTTCGCGCGGTAGCTAAGCATACTTCATTTTTGGATTTAAACTTTCCACTTTGCATCGACTGCCATGAATATTCTGGTTTGAACTGCTGCTCGTTTGAGTCAGATTATGCAGTACTATTCTATATTATGTAAAAATTCAGCTCAGAGTGTAGGGAATAAGTGGAATATAAATATAACTTTATTTTACAGATGTGCATATTCAATAACCGGTAATGTCTTTATACAATTAGAAAAGGTTATACTATAGAAAAGGTTATGCGATCTTCTTGCAACGATCGTTATGTACCTATTTTTTCGCATAGAAAACTATGGCAAGTCTGTTTGAAAGACGTCGTATCTCATCGCAGAGTTAACTCTTCGCTTGCCTAAAGCCTATTTCTATGAAACTTTTTTGTTACCACAGTGACCTAACCCAGACCTCGCAATCTATAACATTCTATTGAATTAAGAACGATTTTTAAGTAGCAATCTTAAAGATACCAGCATCGAATGATCTCTGATAGATTTTCAGTGTCTTATATAAGTCTAGCAGCGAATCTGGAAAAGACTCTCAAAGACAGCGTTCGACATGGTCGATTGTTGTTCTTCCTGGGTCCAGGACTCGTGGGTGTAGCGCGATTAACGAATCGTCAGTCATTCGGCGATGGTTTGATTGATCCGCGCATTCCTGACCCCGTTGCGCGTTCTGGTCGCGAGAGATCGTCGTTTCAGATGATGGATCGACCGATTTTAATTCGACAGGGTATTTGCATAAATTGCGTCACGGCTGAGAGTGGGACGCCGCAATCGAGGGACGCGTTCGGGTTTGAGGAACGCTTGTGCCAACCTCGTATCGCGTGGGACTGTGTCTTACAAATTGTACAGGTCGTTACACATACCATTAACTTCCAGCGAAGGCAATTTAAACTTGATTACTCGTAAACCTTATCCGTGAATCACAGAATTTCATTTTTCCTGGTTGTACTCCATGTTGCAGCAATCGCTGCGGTCTCGATATTTGTTACGTGAAATCGCGCCATCAGTTTTGAAACATTGTGTGTACGGAATGATCAGCTATGTGAAATCGTGAATAACCGTTTCGTTGTACCTTGTTTTCAAGTTAATAACCAGTTGGTTGTCATTGACGAGTATACTCGGCATAACACGGCTAACTGGTTAAAAAGCATATATGCTTTGATATTCTTGATTAAATTATATATTTTATAAAAGTGTCGTATTTAAATCAAATATGAAGAACATTAAATATATTCAGTATAATTGGCTAACTGGTTAAAAAGGACATATGCTTTGATATTCTTGATTAAATTATATATTTTATATATAAAAATGTTATATTTAAATCAAATATAAAGAACATCAAATATATTCGGTATAATTGCAGTAACTTGTACACTTTTCAAAGAGATTGCAACAGTTAACTATAATTGACAGTTAACATTGATACTGTCGCACTCTAAATTCAAAGCGTTTTAGTCAAAATCCAAAACATTTTAGCTCTAAATCCAAAGCATTTTAGCTCTAAATTCAAAGCAGTTCTTCTGAACTGCAGCATCTCCATTTTATATAACTTGTGCATCTTGAATTTTGTGACTTATACAACAGTCACACTTTTGACAGATTTTTAAATGATTTTGGAACGCGATATTATAACAATTTTTAGCGGTGTCTCAGAGACCATCGGGGCGTTGCACTCGTGTGCAAGGGGTTAACGATTGAAATGACGAGCAGCGCCGCATGAACCAGTTCTTGGTCTCTATCTTTTGCACAGTGCGTCTACAGTTTGCTGATCTAGGCGCGCCATTGTCCGTGGATGAGAGAACTCTTCAATCGTCGGTAACTTAAAACCAAAATCCACGTTCCTGATTTTTGTCTGCACGGTGGAATCGCACCACGAAATATACGACGGTTAGCGGAACCGTCAGCCGTGTAAGTCCTCGCCAGCCAAATTTCGAGCACTTGATACGCATGAGCAGATGTTTCGAGATTTCTTCAGAATTCGAGACTCGCCTGACGGTTCTAGGGTTCTGTGAGCGATCGCACCGCCGACTATCGACACTGTTCGCTGGCAAGTCTCCTGACAGCGATTTTTCGCTTGTCGACGAACGCGCGGAGGTATCGAGAACGTTTGCGCGCGTAGAATTCTAAACAAACGGCGCGCATTCTTGCGGCCCGCGTTGTACATATCCGCGGAGGATGTAGATACAGCTGTAGGATCGTGTTAGCAGACGATTAGGCGATGTCGCAGCAGGAGCTACATTCTTGGTGACGGTCGTCGTTCGCGGTCGGCCTCTGTCCGTTGTTCGGAATCGTGTTCTAGCGAAATCCGCGCCGCGGACACGCGATCCGACGGAATTAAATAGAACACCGGAATACCGAGTATTTTTGTCGCCGATCGCGACGATGCCGGCCGCAAAAACATGTTGAAAGACACACGTCGTGTCGCGTGACGTCCTCGATTCTGTTCTCATCTCCTGCGAGGTTACTTTCGGCCCGCCTCTGTTTGGAAACACAATCGAAATAGACACGTAGATATCTCTGGTCTGCTGAATTTTACACGATCCCGCGATTTTTCCTAATGGGAAGTGACGGCAGACTCGAAGACACGTTAATTCGTTGTAAATCGAGTAACATCTTTTATACGACAGGGGCTGAATCTGTCGTCTGCTCGTTACAAGTACAATTGATATTGTTTGGTTTACGTCTGTAGAATATTGTTAACAACCTGGTAAATAATGCGTGTACCACTGGAATCATTAACTTCAATGCTCCGATACGTTTGTATAGAACTACTGCGCTATTTAAACTTCGGTTCGTTAACACCGAGAGTCGCTTAACAGAATCTTTTTATTCGCAAATAGCTACTGCGGCAAGGTGGACACCTTTTTGCCCAGATTCCGGAGATGTTTAAGAAAACAAACTTATCGCGTAGTAGGTAACACATGATCGATTTCCTTTTTTTTTTGTAACTGCAAGCGAGCTATATTCTACGTTCTCGATCGTAAATAAAATTAAAAAAGGTAGAAAATCAAAGCATCGAACCACAAATTTGAGCGCAGCACGAAATTTACTTTTGAAGCTTTACTTTTAGTCGTCGCAGGAGCCTATCTGATTAATTGTGCAATCAACCAATATTTCAATATGAAAATTTTCTACAATCTCCAACATAAGATAATTATATAATAACAATAATAATAATAACAATCTACTACAGTCTCCAACGCAAAGTATTCGAAGAATTACGATACAAAATTTTCCATCTTATATGTATATAATCAGCCAAAAACTTATCTTTTTAAAATTTATCTATTCAATCTATTTGTGTCAAAATGTTCAGATTTTAACACTAAACTTACCGTATCGGTCGAAACGACCGGTTCAACAATTTACATTTTACATTCTAAAGTTATCGAGATTATAACGAGTCAGAAATTAATCGAAGCACGCGCTTGTAATGCTTACAAAACAATTATGTCGGACAGCTTTAGTACCCGGTAGGTTAATTGTTGAATGAAGATTGTAAATATAAGAACACGGCATAATTGATTGGAACGAGGGTGAATGCGATAATGGTATGATAATGAATTTCCTGGCAACGAGAAGGTTAGCCCTCTGGATGCGGTAGAACGCGACGATGATAAGTAACTTTTCGAATTAGAGGGCGGCGGGTTATACAATTTTCACCCTCGCCCATAATAATCAATCGGTCGATCGCGTTGCAGGGAAATCCGTACGGATTGAAGGACACGACGGGGATGGGCATGACGGCGGATATGGGTGCTGCATGGGGCACGGCCGCCCTTCAACCTGCTGCCACGGGTTACTACCCCTACGATCCAACCCTGGCCGCCTACGGGTAAGTTTATCACCAGGTTTCATGGTCTCTCGGCTCCATTAGATTAAACCACCATCCGCGTTCTCTGCTCTGTCTGTATCTCTCTTCCTCGTACATACACTCGTGCACACACACACATACGCGCGTATTACACACACCCTTTAACCCGTCGACGGCGGTGCTCAGTGCCGCCATTAAAACAAGAGTCACGATCTCGTACTCGCTACACATATCCCGTCAGGAATGGTTATCGTTATCGCGAATCCGTAATATCTTCTATCCCGGGCCGCGTAACCGGAGTGCCACACAATTTTAGCCCGTTGAAGCTTATATGGGGAAGACGATTGCCGTTTCTGGCTGACGGTCGCGTTCCGAACGACCTGTAAAAGAGAAATATTCCTATTTCGCCTGATCGTTCCTCCTGGATGTTCGTCTTGACGTCGAGGTTGCGCGACGGCCACCAATTCCTCTTTCGAATGACTTACGAGGGAATTTCGTCCTTTAAAACGGAAGTGCACTCTGCTATATCTTTTCCTTAGGCACGGATATCGCTTTAAAAATGATTAATATACGCCGGAAGCGCTCGCGAAAGTCTATACGTGCTCGTCGAGCTCGGAGAGTTCGTTGAAATAACCCGAAGGACATTTTTCTGTGCAATGTCGATGGCTGGATCGCGCATTTTATACGTTCACGACGAAATTGAACAGCCGCATTTAACGCTAAACCTACCGAGCCTCTAAAACTGACCGACGTGTGTTGCTTTCGAAGAATTACAACACTGAATTTATTGCGATCTTATGCTAGTTTTTCTTATAGCGTCTGCTTAACCCTGCCGTTTTTCTTACTTGCGTCTCGCGTTCGCATCCCTTCGGGTCATAGCGACCCGAGGAACAAAAAAAGGCGTTTTTTCTTCGTATGTTTCGATTAATTTGTTCGATATTATATTCTATATGTAAGAAATATTATGTTTATTCACTGCATGTAACGATTTTCAAATATGTAAATATCGTATAAAGTATAAATTAATTTAAATTAAATTTAAATTTCATTTCGGGTCATACAGGCCCAAGGAGAACAGCAAAATTCAATTGAGAAGATCGATCAATCGTTTCCTACGATTGAAAGAGTTTTTCATCAAATTTCAAGAGATTTAAAAGAAAAATGTGAAACCGGCACGGTGGGTTTAGTTATCAAAATACTAGAAAAATGTGAAAAAATGTATGCACATGAATATATTATCGTCAGTTTATCAAAATTATTAAAAAAAAGGAACCTGTTCGGTTCGCCACTCTCTCGCAATTGGTAGAGAGTATGTCGCACGAGGACTTCGTAGCGCTGGAGATTCCAAATTCCAGCGACTCGCGCGAAATAAATTTTCGTATCCCGAAAGCACAGTCGGAACTGGCTGTCGAGACCAGCCGGGACAATGTGCGTAAAAGTCAGCGATACCATGATCGCCTCCGGAGACAGAGTCCGCTTAATCTCATTCGTTCCCGTCAGGCTTTAAAACTGCGCGACGCGACGCGACGCGACGCACGCTCAGTCAAGGTAGGCGACAATTAATCCATAAGAAGGGTGACGAGCAAACCGGATGCTCGTTCTTCCTGCTCGTGGATAAGAGTTACGAGGGTGCTGTCAACACGAGGACCCTTGTACTTCATCTTGCCGTAGGGGGTAGGGGCGTCGGGGACGGGGGTGCGGAAAGGCGGCGGCGCGGGGGCGTATCGACGCCGTTGAAGAGGTCGTCACTTAGGACGATACAGGCGCGCGTACACACACGTAGCCGCGCGTAACACACGTATACACGCACACCGATCTCGTAAACATTGTATCGGAGAGCCGGTAAGTGATTCCCGTTGCTATATTCCGCGGGCGCGCGTATTTTCGTTACGGATCCGGGTCTGTTTTGATTAATAATGGCAGCGCGGACAAAAAAGCTGACGGCCGAATTTACGACGGGAATTTATTTCCGTGGCGCTGGACGCCCGACACGCTGGATCGCGATACGCCGGCGATATATCAAAATCTGCCAGAACAAGGGAACGATCGTTTATCGGGCCGGAATTAAAATTTTAAAGAGAAGACGGAACACCGCCGCGCTCGTTCCCTCGTTCGATCGTTTCGAATACCTCGAGTAGCCTGTTCTTCTGTATTCGCGATCGGGGAGGCTCGAAACCAATTTTCTGCATAAAGAAATGGATTTTAGAAAGAAGGTTGATTCTTGTTTCGAGTAGCGTTACGTGTCACCGTCGTCGGAATCATTCTAAAAATATTTTCAGGTATGCAGTTTAAGGCTGCGAACTAAAATATCCGCAACGCGTTCAGGAAACTTGTTTCGTTGCCATTATTGTGCAATATTTGTACATTTTTTGATGTTTTAACCGTTTTATAGTCCAAACATAAGTGTCTGAATCAGAGAAATTTGTGCTGCAATATATAAAGTTCTGTTTACTTCGCGTGTGATTTTAGTAGACAGAAAATGATACAAGAAGGTATTTCATCGTCTTAAACATTTCACTTCGCAATTTTCTAAACATCCTTGCACGTCGCTAGTGCATAAAGAGACACAGTTCAACCATTCAATTCTGCATTTGCACGGTTTTGATTTAACGCGGTCTAGAAAAATATATTCAGTTTTTATTTTACGCGATTTCATTTGATCCAGCACGGTTTAAAAAGAATAATTATTTCCATTAACCACAATGTTCCAGACATATTTGGGACAGCGCTATTGTTCTATGTGTCTAGACGATGTATTTTTTACACGGTATTTTCTGCCGTTTAAAAACAGAATCGATTAAACCAATCTAATAGAAAAATTCGAAGAGAGGACGCTCTGTACGAAGTTGAAATGCCGCGACAATTTCGGGCAAGCGAAAGCGTATGAAACCGAAGACGGTGCAAAATATCCCACATACTCTCGAACGCCTGTTACGCACAGATTTCCGCGCGCAATAAATATTTCCGGGGAATCTGGTCCGCGGTTGCGAAGGGGTTGAAAGCAGCAACCGAACGAGCCGGTTCCCCGTGATTGCTCGGGAACGGGGATGGCCGGCGCGAGCGAAATAATAAACCAGAAAAACCGCGAACACCTAATTGGAAACCCGGCGGCGGGATCGGTTCGGCGTGGTTCCCGAAACCGCGGCTCTGTTTCGTGGGAAAGGGTGCGCCTCTATTTTCGAGGACCATGTGTCGCGTGCCGTTGACAAAATGAGACATTGACACAGATTTTCGACGCCGGGCGTAATTGGAAACACTTGGTCCGCCTCGATTTTTCTTGGTCCCTCGTAAATCTCGGTTGTGCGTATCCCTTCCTCTTCGGTCTTTTTTCCCCTGGCGTCCACCGGTCGGCCGGTATTTTCATATCGCGTTTCACACGCGATGCTCATAGACCGTTTCCAATCTCGGGATCGACGATTGGATAAAGAAGAGCGGACTGCTCGCCGATAGGATAAAAATCGCTAAACGGTAGACGGGGAATTCAATATCGAGGCTCGAGGAAACGCACGACGCTGCCTCTCGGATTCTCCTTTGATCTCGCCGCTCCTGTTCCTCTCTCTCCTTTCCTTCTCTCTCTCTCTCTCTCCCTCTCTCTCTCTCTCTCTCTTCCCCTCGTCATCGAACGAGAGAAACGGTCTCCCGATTCCTCGGGGTCCCGAGGGGGATGAGAAGAGGGCACGAGAGAAACCGTGCACGGCGAACGGTTACAAAATGGCTGTAGGCAGGGCCGGAGTGGGCGTACGTAATGGAGGCTTCCAGGTTGCCCGCGTATATATAGTCGCATCGCGAGCGTAGGGAGAGCAGTAGGTCTCTCTCCGTAGGAGAGCGAGTGAGTGAGTTTATTGATTGGCTTCCTCCCGGGGTTGGCTCGCCTGTTCGCCAGGCCTCTGCACTCTCTCTTCCTCTGCCTCCCCTCTCTGCTTCCCCTCGGTTCTCTCTCCTCTCTCTCTCTCCCTCTCTCTCTCTCTCTCTCTCTCTCTCTCTGCCTCGCTCTCTTCGAGCGGGTTCCTCGGTCCGCTCGGTTCCTCCTGCCTGCCCCGGCCTCCTCTCCACCTCCTCGGCAACCTCCTTCCACCCTCGAAAGCGAGCCAGCTCCCACAGGTGCTTTACTTACTTTGCTTAGCAACCCTCGTGTCCACACAAACACGCTGCAACCGCCACGTTCGCGTGCACCTACGCGGCCCGCTCACGCACGGACTTTGATTCTCTGCCGTTCACCCTCCTCCGACGTCGCCGCCGAGCTGCCTAGACACCCCCGCGACCCCCGCGGACAGAGATCCTCCCTCGCAGGGAACGCGTGTGCGCCCGGCCGCGTACAAAACTCCGGACTGTAGGCATTGTTTATCGTGGAATCCACCCTCTCTCGTGCCGTGCTCACCCCTCGGCATTCTCGGAGCCTCTATTAATTTACTTGCTTAATAATACGACAGCCCTCTCTCGGCCTCTTCATCCCTGTCTGTTTGCCCCGCTTCCGGGCCTCTCTTCTCTTCCACTCTCTCCTCGTTCCTCCGGGTCTGAGCCTGTGTGTCGTCACTTTNTCCCGAGGGGGATGAGAAGAGGGCACGAGAGAAACCGTGCACGGCGAACGGTTACAAAATGGCTGTAGGCAGGGCCGGAGTGGGCGTACGTAATGGAGGCTTCCAGGTTGCCCGCGTATATATAGTCGCATCGCGAGCGTAGGGAGAGCAGTAGGTCTCTCTCCGTAGGAGAGCGAGTGAGTGAGTTTATTGATTGGCTTCCTCCCGGGGTTGGCTCGCCTGTTCGCCAGGCCTCTGCACTCTCTCTTCCTCTGCCTCCCCTCTCTGCTTCCCCTCGGTTCTCTCTCCTCTCTCTCTCTCCCTCTCTCTCTCTCTCTCTCTCTCTCTCTCTGCCTCGCTCTCTTCGAGCGGGTTCCTCGGTCCGCTCGGTTCCTCCTGCCTGCCCCGGCCTCCTCTCCACCTCCTCGGCAACCTCCTTCCACCCTCGAAAGCGAGCCAGCTCCCACAGGTGCTTTACTTACTTTGCTTAGCAACCCTCGTGTC